ATATAGAAAAGATTATAGACTATACTATAGACTAGACTAAAGACTAGTGTATAAACTAGATTATAGACTATAGATAAGTCTATTGAATACTATGTACTATTAACTAATATTATTACTATTAATGTATTGATATGTATTATTAATGCTCACAAAGCAATTTTTATTTTTAACGCATTTTTAACAACACCCCATAATATACAACCCTGTATAAGCCATAGCACGAAATTGACAACCAGATGTCGCTGCCGCACAAAACAAATGTCAATTAGCAAAACAGCCCAGCGAGAAAAAAATTGCAGGTTAGACAACTTTTCAAAAAAATAATTCTTTTTGTCAAAAAATTGTAATTTCTTCGTGCAGGGTGAATTTTTTCACAGGTAAAAAATCGACAATTTTCTTAAACATCCATGTAAAAAATTAACAAAAAATATGCACAAATTGTTTTTAATCAACAACAAAATCAAAGTGAATGAAAATTTTATAATAATTGTGAAAGAAATGGCAAAATAACAAATATAAATAAACAGCTTGAAGTTTGACCCCCTCAGCTAATAAAGAGACAGAACATGAAAAAGAGTTGAAAGCGATTACGACAAGGGTTAAAAGCCGGTGGGGTTAATTAATAAGAGTGAAAAGTGTGAATTAGTTTAAAAATATTAGAAAATTTGCACAACTTATGAAAACTTTTAATTAAATTATAATTGATTTTTCTCATACATTTTAGTAACAAACAAAAATGCCAGAACTTACTGAAATTAAGGCCGATGCCCCCACTACCTCTGCTGCTCCTGCTGAGGCTAAGGCTGTTGAAGATGTTCGCGTAGAAGATGACGGCAGTGATAGTGACTCTGAGGACACCATTCCCGAGTTGGAAGATGCCGGTGCTGGTGCTACCCAATTGGGTGGTGGTGCCACCGGTTTGCCCATTGACCTTGTCTCCAAGGCCAAGCAATCTCGCGGTGAAAAGAAAGCCCGCAAGATTATGCTCAAGTTGGGTTTGAAACAAATCCAAGGTGTCAACCGTGTCACCATCCGCAAATCCAAGAACATCTTGTTCGTCATCAACAACCCCGATGTCTACAAGAACCCCCACAGTGATACCTACATTGTCTTCGGTGAAGCCAAAATCGAAGATTTGTCTCAACAAGCCCAAGTTGCTGCTGCTGAGAAATTCAAGACCCCCGAAGCTGCCGGAGCTGCTGATACCATTGGTACAACCTCCTCCGTTGCACCCATTGCCGAAGAAGACGAAGAAGAAGTTGACGAGACCGGTGTCGATGAGAAGGACATTGAGTTGGTCATCAATCAAGCCAATACTACCCGCGCTAAGGCTATTAAGGCACTTAAGAACAATAACAATGATATTGTCAATGCCATCATGGAACTGACGATGCTTTAAATTCTATTTTCTCATCGCTCTAAACTAAGCAACCCCCTCCCCCCAAATTTTAAGCTAGAGAGTAGAGTTTAATGGCCTGCATTTTAAGTTTAGTACCCGCCTCAGCAAAAACTACACAACAACAATGTAATCACATTTTTTTTATTATATTATTAATTATAATATGAAGAAAAAACAACAACTACTACAAATTAATAATACAGACTTTTTTTCGTTATTACAAAATTTTTGAATGTTAATTAGTATAGTCTTTCGCTTGGACTTGTTTCCTAAGACGTAAAGCTAGGCTTATTTAATATAACATTAACTATATATTAAAAAAAAAAACATCTTTGGTATTTGCTTTTATTTTATTTTTGTCTTATAATTTGTTATTATATTTCAAGACCAGAGTTTAAGAAGAAAAAGAATTGAAAGATTTAAGTAAAATAAAAACAAAAAATATATTTTTATTTCAGTTAACAACTTGAAATTTTTAAAAAGAAAAATACCAAAAATATTAAGTGTTTTTTTTTTTTGGATCGAGTTACAGAAAGTCCAATTAAGGGAGTAATTATTAGTTAATGCCGATAAATAGAAAATGAAAGTTGAAGTGAGGCAGCACATGTGATAAATAGAATGATGAGTCATGGTATGTTGTTAGTGAGAAACCCAAAAATGAAGACCTTGAAATATTATAAATTATGAAGAGAACAAAATACTATCATAGAACTCTGTTCAAAAATTCAACATTTACCTATCCGCGACTCTTCTAAAAAGTCTTTATGAGCCCCTCTTTTGATCAGTTCTGACTCATTTTTTAAACACTTTTGAGTCATTCACCCCTATTCCGCATTTCGATTACGTTTCCTCATTCAGTTACGCTACGATCGAAAATTGGTATTCCAACAAATCGGAATCGTAAGAAGAAGCAATACCATTTTATTGCAATGCTTTACGATTATATGTATTCTGCATTACGATCGTAACTACCTTTTTCTAAGTTCGTGTGTGAGAGTGAAAGTGATGGTTGATATGTCTTTCTCTCACACACAAATTCCAAAGTTTCCTTGTGTGTACCGGCACTTACAAACAAATACAATAATAAAGAACACAGTTCTTGATCTTTCGACAGTACGAAATCTTCCCAGCTAGCATTGTTTTTAATTTTTAATCAAATTTGAGTCATTTATGACTTTTCTGCACGATTAAAATGATTATATATGCTCTTATTTTCTGATCATAAATGATGCATTCGTAGAGAGAAAATGGTAACCTATCCGCGACTCTTCTAAAAGAGTCTTTTATGAGTCTTCTGATCACTTCTAACTCATTTTTGGAGTCACTAATGAGTCTAATTTCTGGTCGTTTTACTGACCAGTATTCGAACACCAGGATTATCGATATGTAATCAGTTTTTAATCATATATCGGGATCATTTTGGAATCTTTTTTTAAGAGTACAACTTATTAATCTCTTTTAGGTCATCAAAAAGAGTCAAAGTAGACTCAGCTTACTGACTAATCATCCTATAATTTTCCAATTGGCAGCTGGGAACTATTACTTTTTGAGTTTTCTATAATATTGAACCCAAAACGGTGTAAATAAGTAGTATTTTTTTGATCTTCAAAAGGTACTTTTTGAGTTTTCTATAATATTGAACCTAGAAACATAAAATTAAACATTCAGAGCCGTTAACACCACCTCCGGTTATCGTTTAACCTGTAGATATTCTGCCGGTTAAAATATTTTTTGTATGAAAACTGTCAATTAAACCTTACGATAAAATATAACCAGATATTGGTGGTCAGGGTCATTAGTGAATGAAAATCTGTAGGAAAGAAATGTAGGTACTTTTTCGTAATATGGAACATAGAAACATATAAAAGCGAAACGGGTACTTTTTGAATATTTTACAATATTAAGCAAAAATAATGCTAAATTAAACACGCTACATACTAATTGAATGCAAATCTATAAAAGTTGACTTTCTGGTACTTTTTTGTCATTCAATTGATACTTTTTGATCTTCTGAATTATTAAACCTAGAACAAATTTAGACTTAACGATGATAGGTCATCAAATTGGCTTAGGTACTATCGAATATCAAACAGAGATATCAGAATCTATACTGATAGTTAAACCGCTATTAAAACCCTGATCGGTGTATATTCTACATCAAGACTTGTCCAAGAATGCAGGTCGTCTCTTAATAATATGGCGAGACATTCAACAAATACCATTGTTTGGTTCAGAGGACACAATTAGCAACAATATTGCTTATACTTTGTCGAAACCTGGAACGAGGATGGCCATACTGTATATAGACCAGTTTTGTGGTGTCCCCCTATCGACCATTAAGAAACATACATATGTATGTATATACGATACATGATATAATTTAGATCAAGACAGTTGGTCTCATGAGTTATATAAGTTATTACTTGCTATTGCAAGTTTGGAACCATGCAAGACACGTGCGTCATGTATACAACTACTTCTGTAAAATCTGCCAAAATAAGGATGAGGAGAAAACAATTACTCATCTTCTGCGTAACTGCCCGTCCCTTGAAACGATTCGCTATCAAATGTTAGGGTCCTCACATTTCTCAGATCTATCTGATCTGTCAAACCTTCAACTAGAACGTATTCTCGCATTTCTAAATTTGTCTAAACTTAGTCTTACACTATGATTTTAATGAAAATCTATAATAAAAATACATTCTGCTCCTTTTTTTGTTTCCAACTAGTTTTATTTTTGGAATAAATTACGTACCGACTGCTTTTTTTAACACACTATGCTAAAGGGTATTTAACTTGCGGTACAGGCGAATATAGAACTCCTAATTGTTTAAGTTTCCATTAGATAAGAAGTAAAATTCGTGGGTTTTTAAAATTCAAACTAATCGTTAGCGGTTATGTTAAAGGTCTATCAGAAAGTTTTAGGTTTAATAGTAGCCTTTTTAGCGGTCGCGTATGCTTTTACATTTTTCTATGTATTATCACTTCTGTTATTCGATATATTATTGGACTATTATAGTCCAATGTCTTTAAGTCGATATTTTAATATTAAATGAAACAAATAAAAACAAGTTTTAATATATGTATGTGTAAACTACTTTTATTAAGGGGATATACAAAAAATTTGGACACAATATATAATTAGTAATAAATTAAAAATTAATTTATTTTTTTCATTCATTCACAATATTAAATATTTTAGTTTTTATTAAAGTTAAGTAAAGATTTTTGTATATTAAAAACTAACTACAAACAAATGCTTTTAAAAAATTTTGTTAATACTAAAATAAATAGTTAAATAAACCCAGATTTCAAAAAAAAAAAATAAACCAAAAATTTTAATAAAATATGGGTCTATAAGAGATTCTTTGTTCAAAATTTAAAACTTTGGGAAAAAAGTTGACCAGATTTTCTAGACAAAATGTTTTAGTAAAAAAAATAAAAAAATCCATTCCTATTTTAAATTCAAAATAAATAAATTAAAAAAAATGTCTTTTGCCTTAAAATCGTAACTACTAAAATTACACAAAAAACACCAACTCGCATACCTAAATAAAAATATGTATAACTAACTAACTTAAGTACTTGGGTACTTTTTTTAAAAAGTTAATGGACCTGTTTTTAGACTTAAAGTTAAGATATTAAGAAAATCGTTTTAAACGTTGAAATGTTTACGAAATATGTATTAAGTTTCTAATTTCAGCATACGAGCTTGACTTCTAGCTTGTAAATGCATATCAGCCGGTGCCTGCATCCAGGGTTCACCATCAGCCTGCATGGGACAAGTAGTTTTAACCACCAGCTGTGTTTAATAAGCAACAATAAAATTTTAGTTTTAAACTTTTACTTTTAACACGTATTAATTACCTTTATATTTTTAGCTTGGCCAATTCTTACCGGCTTACTAATGCCCATTTGCAATTGGGCAATATGGAACGAAGAGACAATACCAAACACTTCCATAGTTCTATCCGAAATGGAATTGATTATTTTCACCGAATCATCGGCATTACTTAGTTCTGAAATAGTTTACAAATGAAATAGTTTTTGATAGTCAAATAAAGCAGATTTATTTCTTTTCTAAACGTGGCTGAAGGAAATAATGTAACTGCACCTCATACATACCACACAATTTACAACCAGCACCCCATGAATCAATATTTAGGAAGACAATCGATTGTAATTCTGGCAATTTAACCAATTCATTATCTAAATATAAATCGATTTTTTGCTCTAAACCCTCACAGTCACGTTGTACTATTTGTTGAGTGCCAAAACCGAAATATATTAACTGAAATTAAATCTACATCAAATAACACCATATCTTTTAAATCTCTTCACACTTTACCTTATTAAATATCCTACTACTTAAGACATAAAACTTTGACTCTCTGGTCTTGTGGAAGTTATAAGTGACTAACGCATCCACGCCCACACTAAAGTAGTTGTAAACATGTACCGTTTTAATGGGTTGCCTTTGTATGGGTAAACGATAGTGTAGCTTTTCGATTTTTAAATCAAAACGATCAAGATTTATTGAACGTGCTTTTCTAATCTGTAATTGAAGTTTGTTACGTAAAATTTAGATAAATATACTTAAACAAATATGTGCTGAACTTACACTTCTTAGGATTTTTACCGGATCTAGTGTGGATGGTGGTTCTGCACCCCATCCTAAAATGCGTGAGAGATCATTGCCGGTGCCCAAGGGCATTATGGCAACTGCGGGTATTGGCTAAAAATACAAAACGAAATTCAGATGAACCGAATGCTATTGTAGAGCTTTAATTGATTGACTATCTCTCTCTCTCTATCTATCTATCTATCTATCTATCTATCTATCTATCTATCTATCTATCTATCTATCTATCTATCTATCTATCTATCTATCTATCTATCTATCTATCTATCTATCTATCTATCTATCTATCTATCTATCTATATATATATATATATATATATCTATCTATCTATCTATCTATCTATCTATCTATCTATCTATCTATCTATCTATCTATCTATCTATCTATCTATCTATCTACCTACCTACCTATCTATCTATCTATCTATCTATCTATCTATCTATCTATCTACCTATCTATCTATCTATCTATCTATCTATCTATCTATATATATATATATATATATATATATCTATCTATCTATCTATCTATCTATCTATCTATCTATCTACCTACCTACCTACCTATCTATCTATCTATCTATCTATCTATCTATCTATCTATCTATCTATCTATATATCTATCTATCTATCTATCTATCTATCTATCTATCTATCTATCTATCTATCTATCTATCTATCTATCTATCTATCTATCTATCTATCTATCTATCTATCTATCTATCTATCTATCTATCTATCTATCTATCTATCTATCTATCTATCTATCTATCTATCTATCTATCTATCTATCTATCTATCTATCTATCTATCTATCTATCTATCTATCTATCTATCTATCTATCTATCTATCTATCTATCTATCTATCTATCTATCTATCTATCT